GCACGGCACACGAGGGGGTGGGTGGCCAACACCACGCCCAGCCGCCTTTGTCTCTCTCGTGGCGATGTTTACACACCCACCAGGTACTCATTTGAGACTGAGTCGACCTAGGGGAGGCCCAGGACCGGTTCAGATAATCGTAACTGGTGTTGGCCGTGAGGGGGAATCGAACCCGCGTGGCCAGGTTCGTAGCGCAGCGAAGCGCTAACCGCTACACCACCGCTCCCCCCACATACACACGCACACACATGCGCACAGGCGCACACGTGGACACACCGATACAACGCGTCCCACCCTCTAGCCGCACCTCCTCGGGGCACGTTCTGTTTGCTCAAACTCTGGGCGGTCCCAGCGGCCCCGTACGTATCGTAAGTTTCATGCGTGGCAGTATTTGTCCGCGGACATGTTTGCACCCTGGGTTTAAGAGGGGGGCGGCTTGTGTGCACAGCTGCCACTGCCAGTCCCACGGCAGTAGCAGCAACAGCGGCGGTGCGGGCGACAGCTGAGAACATATGCAAGACTTTCATTGATTCGCGTCGGCTGCGAAATTCAACAACAAATAATACAACGTCGAGAGCTCCGAGTGTCTGACGTCGTGGAAAGTTGTCCGTGGCGAGTTTGCTCTTAGATGGGAGTAAAGGTTCGTGGACACCACTCGGGTTCTGGTGCTGTCTCCTCCGCCAGCCACTAACAGACGCTCACACTCGTGCCCGCCATTCTGTGAATTGTTTAATTCCTCCAAGCGACATCGTGCCAATGCACATTTATCTGCAGTCGTCTTCTCGACCTCGAGTTCCAATAAAGGAACTATTATTGTTTGTCTGTGAACGTTTTGTAACATTGCGACTAGTAATCACCGATTATATAATGATCACGGTTAAATGCATGCCCCGACTGAAACAATATGACAATCGATGTTCAATGCAGATAAGGAAAATTTCGCTCTTCACCCAAGAATCCCACCCTGCACTGGAGCCAAAGAACCCACAAATCTTCTCATTATCCACGGTTCTCAGAGAAGTCGTGGAAACATGGGGCGAGGATTGATGGACTCCATAGCGAACAGAGAAGCCGCGTGGTAGTTTCGCATTCCAACCAATCGCCAACCTGCACGCGTTCACCTGCAACCGGAAAACCCAAGGGACCATTTGTACCGGAGCCACGAGCTGCCACTGACAGGGGGGGGGCGGGGGGCCTCGATGGCGGGAGAGGCTCGGGGGCTCCACCACCACGGAGGCTGAGAGGGCCGGCAGCCACGGCTGGCGCCCCAAGCCGCTTGTGATCATCGGCGCCTCTCCACCTCCTCCTGCCCGCTGGCCACGAGGAACCCACTGACCCCCGTCTCCTTCCCCAACTCGCCTCCAATTTCCTCCCCGCACAATCATGTTCATAGCCGCATCAGCCGGGCCTCTCGTGCTACGCCTCTGCATGCGCCACTTTCCTTCTGGACAGACTTGTCATCGGCACACGTCGGTATCCATTCTGCCTCGACACCGCGTCCACGCGTCTACGCGTCGTGCGGCTCCCCCCTTGCCCTTCTCCCGTAACGCCACATCGCAAACGCTTTGGGCCTTCCTCGCGTGGCACCGTTTCAGCCACGCGAAACCCGCGGTGTCGAGACAGCCCGGGGTGAGGGGGGTGTGTGTGGGGGGATGAGTGGGGGGATGAGTGGGGGGGTGAGTGGGGGGGGTGAGTGGGGGGGGCCGCACACCCCCGGCGCCCTCCCAAGCCGCGCCCTCGCGGACCGCTCGGGGAACTCTGCGCGATCCTCCCTGGACGTCGTCTCGTGGCTGCGAGCGCAGACGCAACGCAGACGGCCCCCGCGTCCCCACACTTTGACATGCACGCCTCTCAGCGCCGGGAGGCAGGCTCCACGTTGCTGCGCCCACGCACAGCCAAGCGTCGAGCGTTATCTTTGCCGCACTCTTTAACAACTGCTGTTGATTGATGGGCAGCATTTCAAGACATTCCTGGTGTTTAAACATCACAAAAACCTCAAGTGAGAAGAGATCATTCACGTTCACTTGCAAGGCGAGGCAAGTGAGCTGGCACTACCTTAAACTCGGGGCGTCAAACGGTGAGTGCTAACCGTGTTCGGAATCCATTACTGGTTCCTAAAAGTCAGGAACCGGTAAACAACTCCAGTGGAATATTGGTAACGTGTCTTAGTGATGAAGTTCAAGCACGTTACGTTTAACGCTGTAGACTCTTCTAAGTGCGGTAAACTGGCTTGTACCATTATTTGGTGCGGTTACCGGTCATGTAGGAAAACTATTTTCACCACCTGACCTTAAATAAGAGCCACCGAACAGGCAATGAAGAAGAGCCATTGCTCGACAACACAAGGCATCTAGTCATATAAAGCGCTGTTTTCAGGACGAAGCGTCATTTTCGTTAACTGCTTGTGCACCTAATAAAGAATTAAAGCTTTCGTGACTGCATAAAATTACTCATTGTTTTTTTTCGGTAAAGTCACATATGTAGAAATACAATAAAATTATGTTAAAACAAAACAATGACGACGTTTCGATCACAACACAAGCGATCTTCATCAGGTGTCAAGAACAAATCATGGAGGTAAATACAACAAGAAGATGAGAGACGAGAATTCAACAAACCTAAGAAAAATAATGTGAAGCACAACCAGTCAGGCCAACAACACAGTTAGACACTTCCTGGCGGACCACGAATTTCAGAAGAGTGTTAAATTTCGTGTTCAACCTCTGGATTGCACATACCAGCATAGACAGAGTGAACAAATACGAGGTACAAAGTCAGCAGAAATACATATACAGGCCCACCAAGGGGCAAGGAGGTAGGAAAGACGGACAGAGAAGCAAGGAGAGAGAGAGGGGGCCGGAGGGATGAATAGTGCTTGTGCACCGCTGCGAGTGCCGTATCAGCGCCGAGCGCGTCTGTATCGGAGTGAGTGTTCTAATTGGGCTGTCGCACAATGATATCAGTACCGAGTCGGTGAACAACGGGGTGCAAGCGGGGCTCGACTCATCATCGCTCAACAATGGTTCTGAATCCCGCGGTGCACACATTGAAGAGACGCGCGCAAGCACTGCACAGCCCCGTGTAAGAATTCTAAGTTTTTAAATTTGTTGTGCGTTGTGCGTCATGGGTTTCCATCACCCCTGCAGGGACTATAGAACCGCGGTATGTTCAGAGACATGAGAAAGGAACTACTTCAACGTCACTGTTGCTCGTTGACGATGATGATGATGATGATGACGAGTTATAATTACGCGCTGTAGCCAATCCCGCATTATATCGTGTGGTTCTGTCGCCGAACGATTTCCCCACGGCAAACTGAGATGGGGGCAGCACCGCGGAGGCTTCCAAAAACGTGTCGGCAAGGGGAATGCATCTTGCATCCACAAATAATCTTACGCAACAGCGATCATCGCTGTAAAATTCTATTTTAAGATGCTGTGCATCATCGATGGTGTCCATTCCAACCTGGCAAAGGTCATCGGTTATATTTGATTACTATCTCATGCAGAATAACAGCGGGGTCTTTTTATCTACACCCCGAATCAAAAACACCAACAGATGGTTTAATGAGCTCTGTTTGCCAAATCTCAAGCAGGAACCGATCTTTAACGAAGGAAGATTATTTTAAGATGTGTCCTTTATGGACACTGATAAGACGAACAATGTGTGGAATGATAAATCCATGAGTTCATCATTGTGCACCGACTGCGTCTTTACCTGCGCTAAGCATACGCTTGTGTATTTGTTACTTATATTCTCCGCAGCGACGCTAATGATTATGATTTGTGTCACGTGTTACAGAGTTTTATCCAACAGAGAGGGTCCTTCCACATAAACGTCTGGCAGTTCACATGCATTGGTTCAGGCAGTCATGACTCTGCTGGTGAGACACCGAATGTCAAAACCCGTCCACAGTTTTCTCGTGTTGAGCTAAGACTGCTGAAATTATTCACTCCCAGAAGGACGCGTGTGGCCGATGGGTTGTGTAAAAATTACTTTCACATTTTTGTTAGGTGACGGGGCACATTTTCTGAGTATTCCTTCGGTTACTGCTCACCACCGTGAGAGCCCACGACTTTCCCGTCGCAGCTTTTGAAGATGGTGAGGAACAGAAGTGGCCGGGAGGCCGCCAAGATGGCTACTAGAACGACGTCCCAGCTCAAAGCAGCACAGCTGAGATACCGATCGCAGATTAAGCACCAGAAACGGAGTTCTCAACCATACGGAGCCCCCGATCTTTATCCTGGTCGCTCGGTTTGCCTCGATGACATTCTTGACATCATCTACCCCATATTTGGGTTGTTAGACGAGAGCCGCATCATTTTGACTTCGCGACGGAGATAGGCGAGGCGTCGGAACGATGCAAAAGCCATCCGATGACAGCGACCCGGGACCTGAGCACGAGCGAGCTGCGACGCAACCCGCACCCTTGGCAAGGACATTAAAGGGCACTGCTGTAAAAAAAATGTACCGCATTAGAAGGGTTGACAAGTTTATTGGTGTAACAATAAGGCACCTGAAGCCTCTCTCAACACAGGGCAATAATTGCCTCCTCGCTCAATCTCCGGCAACACGGCAAGCGTGGGAACAAAAATAACCTTGACGCCGCTCGGCGTTCGCAAGCAAGGTGGACATTTGTACCCACCCCTCCATCCCCCCCACGACGCTCCGAACCCAAACTGGGCCCGGGGCAGCTGCGCCGCACGAGCCTGGAACCGGCTCTCTCCTTCCCTCGCTCTCTACGTCACGAAACCTCCGGCGATTTGCGAGCTGTAAGGTCAACGTTTGCTCGCAGGCTATGGGCCGCTGTCAAGTTACCCTTCCGGACGTGCCCCCTGCTTAAGGCAGGCGCTGCTCCGCGCCTGCAACGCGGTGACATCTCGCATGGCGCAGCTCCCACAGGCAACGGCGTGCAAAGCGCCGCGCAATTCCCCCCAGGAGCGGTCCACGACCACACCGAGCGGGCGAGCGGCTCCCCCGTTTCCACACGCGGCACTCACCAGCGCGGCGACGTACACCTTGTACACGGGGTCGGCGCACACCAGCGCCAGGACGCTGCAGCAGCACCGCACCACCGTCTCTCCGCACATCTCCCCGCCGGCTCCGCCGCCCACCGGGCCGGCCGCCGCGGTCGCCGCCGGCGCCGGCCCCTGGGCCCCGGGCCGGTCCGCGTGGCCCCCCGCGGCCGCGGCCGCCCCCACAGCCGGTGGTGCCGTGGCGGCGCCGCCCGTGCGCACCTCCCCGTTGGCCAGGAGCAGCGCGCCGCTCACGTCGTGCCACAGTCGCCGCAGCGCCATCTCGCGCACATTCCAGTTGCGCGAGAACAGGCAGCTCACCAGCTCCATGCCAAACACCTGGCCCGCACGCACAAAGACAAAGATCCCCCGCGTAGCCTTTAACAGACTGTCGGGGCAAGCGCTGTTAGCGAGTGGCGCCTACGAAGGCCGGCACGGCACACGAGGGGGTGGGTGGCCAACACCACGCCCGGCCGCCTTTGTCTCCCCAGCGGCGATGTTTACACACCGTGCCAGGTACTCGTTTGAGACCCAGGATCTTGTAATGATGCGTCGATTCGTCAACATCGATTCGTGCGTGGGAAAATCGGATTTTCAATTTGTTGCGTGATCTCGGCAACCATTCGAGGCATGGCTGCCACTGCGGATAAATTATTAATTAAATATTTTCCTGAATCGAATCACCGAATCGTGACAATGCTTCGAATCACAAGGGTGTGAGTTGGGAGGTAAGGGGCAGTGTGAGGACAGGATGGAATACACGGAGAGGAAAAGTGTGAGCAAGATACAGCCAGACTTAAAAAATGGAAAATACATAGAACCAGGTAACTTAAAACACGTAGGTTTTGACAGCCCTTATTCTTATTCATAATAGGTGTTTGGGTGAGGCCACGTAACGATCTGAGCCGACGTACATTTGGCCAGATCACTGCGCGACCAAAATGTAACAACGAGCTATGGGATGGCGCCACGCGGTGCGAGAGACGTGGCCTCTAGGCAGCGGCACCTGGATCCAGGGCTGTGCGAGCTCGCGGTACGCGACGGGGATGGGCTGCACGCGGAAGTTGAGCTGCGTCGCGTCGCCGTCGGGCAGCGGCCGCCTCGACGTCTCGGCCTGCGCCACGGGCGCCGGCGAGGAGGAGGAGGAGGAAGAGGCGGGGGCGGCCGCCTCCGTCGCCGCCAGCGCCGTCGCCGCCTGCGGGGCCTCGAAACTGAGCACCGCGCGCGGGAGGGAGGAGAAGACGAAAAGACATGAAGCCACGGACCGAGCTCATCGGCGTCGATCTTCGTCGCGGTAGTCTGAATCTGCGGTGGCGGCAGCGGCTTCGAATATCGGCAACGCTGATGTGTTTTGGGGTCATTTGGTGCGACATCTGAGCGGAAAAGCCTACGTGGGTAGTAGTAGGGGTAGTTGTATCGATAGACGTGTTTACAGAAATTCCACGCCTGGCCAAAACTCAAGCTAGAGTCTCTCTTCCATTGGGGAGTGTAATTAAAAATAACTGTGAACGACTGACTTGAAAGACATTTAATTTTACTTTGTCCGAGATAGTGCCGGAACCCCATATGCGATGTCACCGGAACGTGGCAGGAGGCCTCTGTGGCTCTCCCCACAGAGCCGTTTCCATCTCTGCCACGACCCAGCGCCCGCAGCGGGCGGCACTTCATGCCGAGGGCGGCACTTCATGGAGCGTGTGAACGGAGGAGGTCAACGGACAGGTGGACCGGGTGGGGCCTAGGGAATGGAGCCCGTCAGTGACCAATGCCTGAACAAATAAAACAAAATGTTGGTTCTAATTCCAGCTCTGAGAATGAAGAATGTTGGTTTAATCGAGATGTGACACAACACCCGTTGGCAGAGCTTCTAAAAGGTGAGCCTCCAGGGTGGATGAAAGGATCCATTGAAGTGACTTCGGAACATTTCCGTGACGTCATCTTCCGGGGTGGGGGCTGTTCTCTGACACAAGCTGGGCGCGCTGGCCACTGCAAGCATCTCACTCTCGTTACACAAAACTACGTGCAAATTTTGAATGTAAATGGGAGAAAAAAACTCAATGATGACCAACATTATTATACCATGTGGACAACACAGGGTGTGGGTGAGAGGAGCGCCCTACACACCCCATCCACCACACTGGGGGAATAACTTCTCCTAAACAGTGTTCATGATTGTGACATAAATATGCAAATGGCTCGAATGATTAAAACACAACAGACATCCTGGCAAGGAGCCACCAATTCTCACCGGAGCTGCTCATATGTGCTTCATTTTTTGGTGAAATGTTTTGCACCACGTTTGCCGTAGCATCCCGGCACGGTGCTGAGCGGCTCGGGAAAGAAGAGACCGAGGGTGCTCAGGCGCATCGTGCCAAACCGGGCGGCACAACCCGAAAGCACGCCCCAAGTGCTACCGCGATGGCTGGCGCGTCGCTTAGCGAGCAGCCCTCGCCCCGGCTGTTTCCTGCGAACGCGCGCGCACGTAGGGCCACGCACGCGTGCCCCAACGCGCCACAACTGCAGACGTGTGCGCGTGCACGCACGGCGCTCGCACGCGCAAACAGCGGTGGCACGCACGCACGCACGCTGGCGCGAGGCCACAGCGTCCCGGTTCACTCCGCTCCTCTCCGGGAGAGTGCCAGGTCTAACCGCCCCGTGAAAACGAGCACACGGTGGGATCGTTGGAGACGAGTTTTAAGGGGGGAAATAGTTGTGGGGTGTTGTTTTGTTCAGTGACGAATTGTGCAGCTGGTGTACCGCCTGCCTAAAGAGCAAAACACAAGCACAAAAATAATTATTGAATTACCCCTGTAGCTCTGAAGTAAAGAAAAGTAACAAAGAAAGGGCAGCACAGCGCTTGAAAACTTCTCTACTCGTTCAGCCAAACGGAGCGTCCCGCTGACAATGGGCGGCAACTTTTTAGGCACCTTCAGTTTAAAAAAAACGAGTGTGAGAACCAGGGGCAGGTCAACGCCCGCAAACGGCATTCCTGAGTGCGCGCAGTGACGAGGAGGAGGAGGAGGCCTGTGTGGGCTTGACTGCGAACCTGCGTCTCCACTGCGACGCCGATTGCTGCCTCCCCTCCCTCCCCCACACCTCCCCCCGCCCCTCCTCTCCCCGTCCTGCAGCTCCACTTAGCCGCGAGCGCCCGCCCGCCCACGCGGCCCCGCCGTGGGAACGCGTCTGGGGAGAGGCCTCCGCGTCCTCCGGCTCGGGCGACGCCACTTCGGACCCCGCTCGCAGGGGGCACGCTTCTGCGTTTGTGGTCGAGGGCGGAGCGGCCGAGTGAGCGCGCTTCTCCTGGGTGGACTCGACCCCCAAACGAGCACCTTGGCGCGGTGCGTCAATGCAAGAGGATGCTGGAGTGGTGCGGCGCTGGGAGGGGAAGCCACCCGTTCGGTTTTTCTGCTACGTCCTGGGAAATAAGCGAGTCGGTAAATCTTCCCAGGACATTACCAGTCCGAGTTTTTGGTCAATTGCGAAATAATGTCCCACTCAAGATGATGCACGTCCACGTAGTTCTCCTCTGTTGCGGTATTGTGAGATATTCTTCTTTCCGTAATACGTTCCGATCTTTATGCCGAAGGGGGAGCGAACCTGGCACCTGGCACCTGGCCACCTCCTGCTTGACCCTCATGAACACCACGTTTCCAGTAAAGCCTCGAACACACACGACCTCTCTTGTGCGTCGCCGGTCAATCAATCAATGACCTTTGTCAGCAGGTGACAACCCTCACATTTGTTTGCTAAGCGTATGCATTCCTGGCTGACAGTTCCGCTAAATTCTATTTATACCTCAAGAGTAATTTCTTTTACATAAGCTCAACCGGCACTCGCAAATACCAACGATGTCTGCCTGGAGTGTGTCAATGCTCGATCGTAGCGGATCGTTAGTGAGCGTGGCCCGTAGCTCTCGTGCTGAAGAGCCGGCGATGGGACCTTGTGTATTTGTAACTGGTCATCCGAGCGAAGCGGGGCTGGGTGAGGGAGCGATGGAGGTTTGTTGAATGAAACGTGCCGAGCAGCGAAGGCGCGGACGCGGCGTCGTCGTCGTTGTCGTTCTCTGCGTGCGCAGGGGACGTGCGACAGCCAGCGACGTCAACGCGATGTTGCTCGGTAGGGGGGTAAATGTTGTGCGGAATCTCGGTCAGAGTTGAGTGAAATTTTACAAACACGCAAGCTGAGGACTTGACACACACACACACAGGCAGCTCCGCTGCCGACCCTCTTTGGAGCTGCACGCAATAACGAAAGTGAGGCGTCGTCACCGCGAGGTGCGGGGAGGTTTCTTCCCTGGTCCGTGCCCCGCCAACACTACGGCTACGAGTTACTACGACGACGAATTACTATGGATACGAGTTACTACGACGATGAGTTACTACAACGACGAGTTACTACGACGACGACGATGCTGATAACCCACCAGGGAAACTCGTTGCTCTTCCACTTGGCTCGGCACAGCGGGCAGATGAGCGCCTCGCGGTTTCTGCGGCACTCCTCGGCCCCTGCGAGAGACACAGACGGTGCCACGAGGCTCACCGCAATCAGCACCACGAGGCTCACCACAATCAGCACCACGAGGCTCACCACAATCAGCACCACGAGGCTCACCACAATCAGCACCACGAGGCTCACCACAATCAGCGCCACGAGGCTCACCACAATCAGCGCCACGAGGCTCACCACAATCAGCACCACGAGGCTCACCACAATCAGCACCACGAGGCTCACCGCAATCAGCACCACGAGGCTCACCACAATCAGCAGCACGAGGCTCACCACAATCAGCACCACGAGGCTCACCACAATCAGCAACACGAGGCTCACCACAATCAGCACCACGAGGCTCACCACAATCAGCGCCACGAGGCTCACCACAATCAGCGCCACGAGGCTCACCACAATCAGCACCACGAGGCTCACCACAATCGGCCCAGCACGAGATTCCTACGCTCGCCCTACAGCCCTCGAGTGATTTTTTTATTGAATTTAAAACTCACCATCTTCATCTAACAAAAGCATGGAGAACCCGAGGGACTGGGACGGCCGGGTCGACCTCGCACCGCACCCCAAACACACGCCGAGAGAGGGCGGCTTCCGTCGCTTTGTGTGGCCGTGCCCGGACGGACCGGGAGAGACAGAGGGAGAGAGACGCGCACACGGAGCCGGTGGACTCACAGATGGACATGCAGTGGTGGTGCAGCTTGTTGCGGCAGCCGTCCTCGCACACGGTGAGGCTCTCCTCGTCCAGCATGCCGAGCAGGCAAATGGGGCACACCTGCTCCTCCTCATCCTTGCCACTGCACACGGCACCGCCGCACACGGCACCATCAGCGTCGACGCAGCGCCATCGGCGCCTACGCACACCGCGTCTACCGCTGTGGCGCTTGCATACAGAAACTCAGAACTGTTTTTTGGGCTCACGGTATGCGGTAATGGGAGCTTAATTTGCGGGAGCTTAATTTGCGTGACGTGGGGAATTAATGTGGCGACTGGACGCAGAGCTGGGGCCACCGATTGGCCGTGGCACAACTCTTCGGAGCGCCAGCATTCCGCACTGCACGGTGCAGACACCCACGGGAAAATAATGCCGGTGCAAGTGTGTAGAGCGGCCTGGCAAGAGCGTGCGGCACGGCACAAGCATGCGGTGCGGCGTGAGCGGTGTGGTGTGAGCGTGTGGTGTGAGCGTGTGGTGTGACCGTGTGGTGTGGTGTAAGCGTGTGGTGTGGTGTGAGCGGTGTGATGCGGCGTGAGCGGTGTGGTGCGGCGTGAGCGTGTGGTCTGGCGTGTGGTGTGGTGTGAGCGTGTGGTGTGGCGTGATGAGTGGTGTGGTGCAGCGTGAGCGGTGCGGTGTGGCGTGAGCAGAGCGGGTGGTGCAGCGTGAGCGGTGTGGTGCGGCGTGAGCGGTGCGGCGTGAGCGGTGCGGCGTGAGCGGTGCGGTGCGGTGCGGTGTGAGCGGTGCGGTGCAGTGCGGGCGCTACCTCTGCTCTGGGTGGCTGGAGGCGGTGCTCTGTGCGGCCGGGAGGTGCGAGTTGGAGAGGCGCGACACGAACTTGGTGATGGTGCTGCGCGACGGAGCCTTGATGCGTGAGCTCCTCTTTGTGTGGTATTTTTGGAAGAGACTCTCCACCTGGAGATCACACGCGCACAGATCCCTCGTTCAGCCACGCAGCGCTTCGCAGCGAGCCCCCATCAAGGCGGACATGGAGCCCTCTAATGGGGTGTGGGTATTGGGCAGGACTATGCTTGACCATTTATGCCTTCCCAGTTCCCAGTGCTGATATTTACCCTCCACATCAGGTATTGATTTAGGGCTGAGGCAACCAACAGGAGGCCACAGACAAGCTCAGATACCGCTTGCCACTGATCTTTTCCATGGCTTGGAAATTGAATCCAGGCCACCAGGAACATAGACCAGTGCACTAACCACAAACCACGACGCCTGTGCCAGGCCAAGTGTGATTTGAGGCCACGCACATGCACGCACACGCACACACACACTCGCACACACACGCACACACTCTCACACGCACACACACACGCGCACGCACACACACACGCACACACACACTCACACACGCACACACTCACACACACACATGTGCACGCACACGCACACGCACACACTCACACGCACACGCACACACACACGCACACACACACGCACACACACACGCACACACACACAAAGACAAAGATCCCCCATATAGCCTTAACAGACTGTAGAGGCAAGTGCTGTTAACGAGCACTTATGAAGGCCGGAACGGTACACGAGGGGGTGGGTGGCCAGCACCACGCCCGACCGCCTTTGTCTCCTTAGTGGCGATGTTTACACACCGCACCAGGTACTCATTTGAGGCTGAGTCGACCTAGGGGAGGCCCGGGACCGGTTCAGATAATCGTCACTGGTGTTGGCCGTGAGCGGGAATTGAACCCGGGTCGCCAGGTTCATAGCGCAGCGCGCTAACCGCTACACTACCGCTCCCCACATACACACACACACACGTACACACACACACGCGCACGCACACACGCACGCACACGTACACACTCACGTGCACACGCACGCACACACACGCACACACAAGCACACACACACACACGCACACGCACACACGCACACGCACGCACACACACACGCACGCACACACACGCACACACACACACACGCGCACGCACACACACTCGCACAAACTGGGCCATGCCGCCCCCAAGCCCAGTTACGCTAGGCTCGGCGGCAGCTGCCCCGCAGCGTCGATTCCGCAAGCGCTCGTGCGCCTCCTCACCTGACACGGCCGCTGCGCTCGTGCGTCAAGCTCGGCGCTCACTGCCCCGGGGGGGGGGGGGGGGACGAGGAGGGGGGGGGTTCACGCCACGAGCTCTGTCGCCGTCTGTCTGCCCGGCTATCGAGTGGTGCCATGCGAGCGTGACCCTCAGAGTGGAGCAAAACCGTCCGCTAAGCGCAGTACGGGTAACAAGAACCACGCGCGGCAATCGGCGGCAAACGTCCCGAACGACGCCGGCTCAGGATGCGGAGCAGACGGTCGTTCGTTTTGGCAGCGATATTTTGAAAGACCACAAATTTTTAGTGGAAACGACGCGCAACAACAATAATCGGCCTGCAGGGGAGGCATTAGGTGGCCAGCGTGCTCGAAGCAAGTGCCTGGAAATACGGTTGTTTCTCTGCAAGGTTTAAACTGTTAAAAAAGTGTTTTATTTTACCAGGTAAGGCCCCACTGAGCTACGCAGCTCTCTTTCAGAAGCCACCTGGCCACAAATCCCCAAGCGGCTTCTCATCACGTGGAAATTTACAGCAGCCAAATACTCTAAGCCAAGGGTCGGCGGAAGAATGCGCAACTCCGTTTAACGTGTAAAATAGTGCGGATTGTAATCCAGATATATAAATATATAGATTATCTCTTCCACCCTGCGACGAAGTTGTTTGCGTTGGACCACGGCAGCAGCGGGGAGGCACCTCGAAGTTCTTGAGGGTTTTCCTCCACAGCATGGGGTCGCTGGGCTCGTTCTGGAAGACGCGCAGCATGACGAACATGACGTGGATGCAGAACGTGCCGCGCCCACAGCTGCACGTCTGTAGGGGAGGGCAGCGCACGGAGGATAACGCACACACGCAAAACACATGACACATATACCTGTGGAGACAATTTATATTTATATGGCCCACCCTTGATTCTATTCCTTGTCCCATCTCCCTCAGTTCACTCGAAAGACTCCTCCCCCCACCACTCCATAGTCCCCCACTGCTCCACAGCCCCCCACTACTCCACAGCCCCCCACCACTCCACAGCCCCCCACTACTCCACAGCCCCCCACTACTCCACAGCCCCCCACTACTCCACAGCCCCTCCACCACTCCACAGCCCCCCCCACCACTCTACAGCCCCCCCCCACTACTCCACAGCCCCCCACTATTCCACAGCCCCCCACCACTCCACAGCCCCCCACTACTCCACAGCCCCCCACTACTCCACAGCCCCCCACTACTCCACAGCCCCCCCCACCACTCCACAGCCCCCCCCACCACTCCACACCCCCCCCCCACCACTCCACAGCCCCCCCACCACACCACGGCTCCCCCGCGGGGCGACGCACCTGGGGTCCGATGAAGACGCGGAACTTGTTGTCGGGCGAGTCTCCCCCGATGAGGAATGAGTTGGGACCGATCTGCTGCAGCAGGTAGAGGCGTGCGCGCATCACCTTGCTCACGCGCCGCTGCGTCTCCTCGGGGCTGTAAGGCGAGCAGCCGTCGGGTGACGGCGCGCGGCGCGGCGGGGTCACGCGGCCGCCCTGCGGGGGGGGACACGAGGGGGCGGCCGTGCCGCACGCGAGGGGTTAACGCCGGGCGCGGGAGGCCTGAGGCCCGCCCGCTCGTCTCCCCGGCGAGCGGCCGTCGGGGCCGCCGCCGCCGCCGCTCTCTCCGTGCGGCGGTGAAGTGCGCGGAGCGGGGAGGCGAGTAAAGGAGTGAGTGCCTTGAGTTGGACTCCCTGCATACGTGAAAGCGGTGGGCTCTTCCCATTTCCATAGCGGAACGCTTCTGATATTATTTTTGCGCTATCAACAATGCAAAATTAATTGTATCGTTTCGAGACTTAACCCACACACTCTCAACAAAATCCTACTTTCAGGACAATGACCTCAAGTGGGTTGTCAACTTTTTTAACGGTTTGTTCCACAGCCAATGGCAAGCGGGCCAGGTCTATCAAACCCAAAAGAAGTGCGCCCAGACACGGCTATTAACCGTGGGCCACGCAGCCTCTCATTCAATCCAGGAATCTCAGCACAGGAGACTCCTGGATCAGATTGAGCAAGGCCTGCCCTGAAAAAATGCACATTAAGCCACTGGCACAAAGTTGAGAGATTAAAGCTGCTTAAACGCTCGGCTGAGCTGACTTCCTCGTGTTTCCTAAAAGCGTCTGCATACCGAGGCGTCCACATCGTAGGCTCTTGAGCCTTTTACTGCTCAAATACATTAAGAATTTGCGTGCCAGTTTTTAAGTAAAATGCCGAGGGGCAATTTATTTTCATTTATTTTTTTGCCGTGAGACAGGAATGCGCGGCGGTACTGTCTGACCGTATCGCTCCCGCCAAATATGCGTCAGATTACAGAGCGCTGGACGTAGGTGGTACTATTTCGCCATAGCGAGTACAAATGAAAAGTCTCTTAGGGAAAAGGTGTCAAATTATAGGCCAGCGGGATTACAGAGGTGTAGCCATTCCGGGCCGTAAAGCCGTAGCGGAGAGAAGCCTCTGTGAGCCAACGCAGCACTGAGTGTGCGCAGCCGGTGACAGAGGAGTTGAAAAGGGCAGAGTCTACGACGCCCATCACGCGTGCTGGAACGTTTCACGTGGATGTACAAACCACTGAGACGATGCTCAATTCAAAGACCACTCAAGCCGACACATTATGCTCCTAGTCACACTTTCAGATCGGTGACTGCTGAACTTTTGTTGGTTCCTAGAAATTTGTCTCAAATCGGTAGTGGCCTTAACTTGTCACACTGCTTGACTCGGGAACTTGACTCCAAGTCTCACGGATGCTTCAGCACCAAAAACTGTACAAATCGTAGAAACGAACGGAGGCGGATCGTACCAGCGTGGGGGAGGCCCTGCGTCTCCGCTCGCCCGGGGAGCCGGGCTTCTGTGCCGAGATCCTGGGCAGGGTCCCCGGTGGCGACGTGTCCCCGGGGGCCCCCGCGCCGCCCCCCAGCTGGGAGGGGCTGCGGGGCCTCCGCGCGGCCGCGCGGGGCGACGTGCGCGCCGTCTCGCCCGCGGCCTCCGGCAGGGCCCGCTCGTCCTCGCCCACGTCCAGCTTGAGGGGCAGCGGCTTCACGACCTGCCACGACGCGCACACGCACGCACGCACGCACGCGCATCGCCGGGCACGCTCACGGATCGGGCCACGTGTGTTTATCACTACGACTGTGAATACGACGCGAGAGTTTACCCAGGAGAGCCTCACTCAGTCTCAAGACTCTTTTTTTCAGGAGGCTTCTGCTAAGTTTTCCCAGTAGTGGCTGCGATGTTGCTGCTGCTGCTGCCGCGTGTAATCTGAATTGAGTAATTTCCAGGAACATTATCAGCCTTTGATCAATAACAGTTACACTTGACGTGTATATTAACTATGGCAGTAGACAGGACAACGCGGAGGACACCCATGCAGAAAAGGGGGAAACCGGACAGAAAGGCACCCGAGTCGGGAATCGAAGCCGGACGCCTCTTGCCGTGAGGCACGAGTATCGCCAGCGTGCCGCCCTGCCCCGGTGCCGCGCGGTCTGCAGTTTTAAGCATGGGGGGGGGGGGGGGGGGTCCCAGGCTGAGCCGCGTGCCGAGCGAAGCCTCACCATGGGACCTTTGCGGTTCTGGCGCTCGAGCCACTCGTGCTTCCAGGCCGGCATGCACGTGGCCTTCAGCTTCTCGCGGATGAGGCGCTCCTCCGGGCGGTCCTCCATCTTAGGCAGTGCGCGGGGGGTGTCGCGGCCCCCCTCGCCCCCCGCACGAGGACCCTCCCCTCCGCCCTCCGCCACTCCCCTGCGGGAACGAAACGAGGGACGGCGTTGCGGCAAGGCCGATTGACGAAGGAAGGTGACTTTGGGTCACGAGTCGTCATCTGAGAATAAATGTTTTAATGCCGTCTCATTTGTCCTTTTATGACATTTTTTTTCCATATTTTTGTCCCGTTCGTACATCATTGTTCGTTCCATCAGCCAAAATCGTAAGTCTGTCCAATGCAAAAATTGTCAATTATCAATTGTTATGCACGCCTAACGGGCACAAAAGGAATATGGATTGAAAACACCGCTTCTTCCACACACAGTTCAGTGCCTGCAGTTATGCATCATGGGAAGAACTAGCGTAACTACACCGCAACTGTAAATGTTTGGAGAGGTTAAATAAAACATGAAAAGCACAACGTATAAATGAATACTAAACACAAACATTATATATATCTAAATCTGCACACGCATATTTTTTTATCCCTTCGCAAAACATTTAGACCACGTGTTGCGTGCGTAAACACGACCACAACAAGTGGCGTGCGCACAGTATACACAGTGTAGACACTCAAATGTTGTGCTCGAGGCAAAGCAGCTTCTTTGCGCTGCTCAGGCTAACACGCCCAAGCGTGAACAGGCCCAGACCACCGACTCACTCCACGTGAGAACGCGGCTCAAACACGGTTGACCACTCAGGGTTACCATCACCGAGGTGACAAAGCACCCGTCACATATCTCACGGTAGCAGCAGGCGGGAGAACTTCATGCGAACGCGTCATCTTGAGTGCTGCGAAATTACTCAAACGACAACAAAAATAAAGCGCGGGGCTGTAGTGCTCGCACCAAGCCCGGCTCTCGTGGCTGCCGATGCCAATCGGCGTCCCGGGGAAGACAACTGACAGATTCCCCGGGACAGCTACCACGAAAAGAGGACGTCCGGGTAAATCCTGGACAGGTGGCGACACTCGTGGCCACCCAGAGTGGAACCCAGGACCTCCGCGGCGCTGAATAAGCGCTCTGACATCCGAGCCGAGTGCTGTGCTGTTAACCCATAAAATGTGTTTTCTGGTACACAAAGAGCACAAAGTGTCCAACTTCCTGCGTTCGTGTTATGTAATTCAATGTTGCAATTGCTAATGTTTGCATCGTCGAGTCACATGATCATTTTAAGTCATGCGGGACACGTGGGCAGTGTTTTGAAATGATCGATGCGTGCCAATGGGCAGCCTGAGTGCGCGGTGAAGCGAGATTCCAACCCAGGTTTTTTTACAGGGCCTTAGCAGCCACTATAAACCAGACAAGAGGCTTGCGTTGAGAGCCAGGGTCAGCTGGGGTCAGGGAGCAGCCCAAGATGGGATCGCTGCTTTGTACCGGGCCTTCACAATCATCCATGCCGACCTTTTGTGCAAGCGAATGTCTTTAATTTCCCATCTTGGTTGAGGTAAGTTTGCGCCAAAAAAAACATAACAAGGAAAACGTTCAAAAACACGTGCATGAATTTGCAGAAGGAGAAATGCTTCTTGCTCTTGAAATTAAAATGAACTTCACAAAGGAAGTTGGTGCTTCCGCAGATTTTCATAAGCCCTGATCAGAGGGCCCAATTAAGCCGCACCTCTCGGTCCCATACACAGCTGCTCCGCTCAAGGCAGGCCCCTTTCCTGTGGAGACATTTCTCCATCTCCGTTTTTATTTTATTGGCGCCGCAGTTCTCCCTTAAAGGCCTTAAAGACCTTTCACTCGGTGAATTCTTTGAGCAGACCTCACGTTGGGAGCAACGTTTATTGTCATGCAGTCAACGTGGTGCTCCCACGCAGGCCCAAGATAGACTTGAAAAATGCAACGTGCAAGATGTGGATTGAAGGGCAAAGTCTGTATTTTGTTACTTAAGCTAGTTTTCCCATGTTAAATGAGCCCATCACACTATTAAAAATTACAATAATTTAATACGTTTCTTTAAATGGCTCGTGAAGAAATAAACATTCTATCACGCATGTATTTCACGAACAATTAACTTCGCCCTCTCTGTTTTTGGCGACGTGTTATTATGACACTTTGGGCTGTGGGCTACCGGACGACAACTGTGGTTTAAAAAAAAAAAGCCAGCACGCTGAACAAAGTGAAAACCAGCTACTGAAGAGCAGGCTCAAGCCATCAAATCGCTAAACTCAAGAGCCCGGTTTGAATCACAATAATGCGGCTGCCCAGATTTGAACCAGGATGTCAGCGACGCGCGTGACAAACGCGACTTCCACGTGTCTCCTCCGTGGGCGGCACGAATCTCCCAGCCCGGCCCCGAGGACCGGCTCGCTCTGGGGCTCGCGCCTCCTCGCACGGAGCGCAGCAGCAGCAGCTGCAGACACTGCTGCTGTCGAGTCAACGCGACCATCGCGGCGCTTCCCACGCTTTAAAGGGACGTTATTGATGGGCCACCTTGGCCCAGAGTCACTAACTCTGAGCGCGACCTGGCAGCCCCCAACACGCCCCTGAGATGGACATTTATACTCTTTAGCCACGGTGTCAGAAAATATCCTGTGTGTGCGTGCTAATTTTAAAGCCGAGGCTGTTGTGTCTTCCCTTTTATGGGACCACTTCTTGGGGAACATGGAGTGTCCAATGCCCCACGCAGTAAAGTGAAGTTGCTTTGGGAACATAATGTGTTGTTTTACTTCACTGCCACAATAACAAATACATGCATAAAATAAACTATTCTGTTCAACTAATTTGAAAAAGATACAAACACAAAACTTACAAATTAATGCAATGGAACGCATCATCGAAAGAAAGTGAAATCCTGAGATGAGCGATTAATTTCTGTTTATGCCACGTGGTGTGACACACTGCGGTAGCAGCACCAGATTAAATTTCTGGAGCCAGATACAGCCCCGACAACGACCCCATCGAAACCACCAATCAAGGCCACAGAGCCTTAGCAAAGCGGCATAACCACACGATGGCAACACGGTTATTTCTTCCTTGAATTTCTACAGCGCTAAACTCATAAGCAGTTACATTTAGACACTGACTAATCTGGTCAAAGGTGGCAATGCCAGCAGAGCAACCGACTCGCAATCGGTGCCAAGCGTTCAAATGCCCGTTGAACGCGGACTCTTCCCATCATTCCTCCTTCTCATATAAAATGAGGGCCAATTTGTGCGAAGTTATCAGTGGTCATTCTATAGGTAGACTGGTCCCTGCACCGGGGATGTGGAGTCTCCACCGTTAGTTTAGGACTGCTCATGGAGACGAGCGCTGCTGTGTTATTCAAGCAACTTCTGCCACGTCTCTCAACAAAAATAAAGATCCCCCGTGTAGACTTTTGGGGCAAGTGCACCTATGTCGGCCGGCAAAGAACACGTGGGGGTGGGTGTCCAGCACTGCTCCTGGCCGCCTTTGTCTCCCCAGTGGGCATGTTTACACACCAGATACTAATTTGAGGCTGAGACGACCAAGGGGAGGCCCAGGACCAGTTCAGATAGCCGTCACTGGTGTTGGTGGCCGTGAGCAGAAATCGAACTCAGGTTGCCGGGTTTGTAGCACAGCTACGCGACCGCTCTCTCAACACGCACGCTAAATGCGGGCATACGCACAACGAACGCACGGGCACAGAAATGCGCCCGGGTTTCAGCAGCCGGAGCCACGTTGGAAAGCATCTGAAATCAATGCACCGCACTGTACACATTGAGCAAAAGAGCTCCGTAAGAAAAGAAAAAAAGCGCTCTTATTTTGGCCGCCGGGTTGTTTAACGCGAGATTACATTTCTCCAGAGCGGACACGCGCCTTGCTGCTCGCCCCCGGTGCACGGTGACCACGTGGAGCGTGCCGTGACGACCCCGGCCAGCCACGTCCGCCGGCAGTCTCCACGCTGCCCACTTCCATCTTGAGAGCTCCCAGCCAGAAAGGGATAGGCACTCTGGCTCTGCCTGCACTTCTCTCCGTTGGTTTTTGAGTCCCCTTAATGTAGACGGAATTAAACGATGACAATGTTACATTTGTGTTGGTATGTTTTTGTGATGCATTTTTTTGAGATTGTCATTTTCATTATTATTCATTAAGCAAAATATTTAACTTGGATAATCTCTTGCGATGGAACATCTTGTTTCCAAGGGCGTCCATAACATTTTTGTTTACTTTCTACTTTGCTATTTCACTGTGATTGTGGTGTCGGAATCAAGTCTGGAGATGTAACTCTCACATCACAAAGTGGTTGAGAATGGTCCGCAGAAGGAGATTTCATAGAACTGCTTCTGAGATTCTTTCGAGCGATTGTTCCTATCCACGCGCTCAGAAGTGCAGCTTCCCACTTTCCCTGCTACGTACATAAGTACGCTGAACTCATTTCGCACCGTACATAGCCAACCGTGCTAATCGGAGGTGGCCGCGAGCGGAAGTCGAATCGCTGCACCACGCTCGCGCGAGCACAATCACACAGAGGCCATGCCTCAGAAAAGGGAACGACTACAACTGACAAAAACAAGACTGCCATTCTCAGTGGCAGGGGAGGTATTTCCTCGAATTTTAGAAGCTTTGATGCTTTCACTGAACTCAACAGTATAAGACCCAGAGTAACGTACGTGCAGAGTCAAAAAAGACTTCGTGATTTCCGACTCAATCGTCTCCTGAATCGGTGGTCGAGACTCCTTAGGACAACAGCTGTTGAATTTCTCACAAAGGGGTACTCGTTTTAGCAACCCCGGTGGCATGATGGGCTAAGTAAATCCCCCATGAGCATTGTAACTCACGAGCCAGTGACCATCACCGATAGCTCACATTATGCTCAAGTCATCTCCATTACGGTACTTACGCTCCAACGCTGCGGGGACCTCAGTCAGCCCAGGCCACCCTTGCAAAAGGGGGTCACGCTGCGTCTCCGTTGGTTTAGTTCCTCTCGAGGTTGGATAAAGGATACAAACAAATACAACACCCCAGCTCCTGCCTCTCGAGTCTGTTACGTGTGCATGTGTGGCGGCACGCACAGCCGAAGCATTATTCCTTGGGGCTACCAGAACTCTACTATTGTGTCACGAAAATATCATTTTAAAATCAAGATTTTTTTTTAAAGATCAGACACATTTTCAAAGCAATACTGAGATTTTGGTCGTTACAAGAAGATCGTGGCATGAATTTTATGGACCGAGATTTTATCGGTCAGACGTCCAGCGGGCAGAGCATGCAGCCCATAACAGATGCAGTACAAAGCACCGATGTGTGGGCCGCTAAACATGCATCTCGCTCCCAGCCAGCTGAGAAGTGTTTCCACGTGGGAGAAAAATGCTACTGAAAAGGAGAAAGTGGCACACTTGCCGGCTTTCCCACTCACTTCCCAAGTGCAGTAGGACGCATCGCTGCGGCGGTAGCAGTCACGTGGGCCAACCGCCGGTGACCGAAGGGTAAAAGAAAGATGCAGCTGAATGTTTGAGCAGTGTTGGAATTATGCAATGCACATCGGTGCCTCTACATAGTTCGGGACTGCAACCTCAGCACAACCCGTGTGTGCTTCAGGAAGCGCAGCTCAAACACAAACACACCGATGGGAAAAGTGACGACGAAAAAAACAGACATTCAACATTTCAGCGCAGCAACAGGAGAAGTGCTCCATCAAGGGTTAAATAACCAGTTGGGCATGGAACTAACGCTATTCCTCAACTGCAGACATACGAACAGGTATCTAGATTACCTTTAAAACCAGGTAAAAGCCCACTGAGATCAGCAGCCTCTTACTCAAGGAAGACGTTTGTTTCATTAAGCACGGCGGCGTAAACCAGGGGTGGCAAAACCGGCCGCTCGCGAGCCACACGCAGCTCCCGGGCGGTTCAAGAGTGCAGCTTGATAGAAAAACCAAAAAAAAACTTCGCTGGAGCCAGCATCGTTTTTTGTTCGCTCCGCTTTAATCGCAGCACGCACACCCCGCCGTCGAATCCGGCATGCGAGCGCGCAGGGCGCCCAGGCAGCCAGGCAGTCACGCTGCCGAGGAATGATAATTGGCAAAGGTATGGTGGGGCTATTTGAGGCCACGACCACAGTGCGTCCACACTGATTTGTGGGCGTCCAGACTTGGCGCGGGCCCGATGGCCCCTCGCGACTCTCAACGGGCTGCCCTGGAGCAAGCGGGGGGGCTCGGAGTCCGGCAGTCTCGACTGTCACTCACGGACACCGTCCGGAAATATGCCGAGCGCCGCTCCGTCTGTGACCCGCACAGGAAGCGAACGAGAGCAGCGGCCCGAGCAGAAGTGAGAGGGCAGCCTGTTTCACCTGCTGTCTTCGATCAGCCGCTGTCTTCGATTTGGTTTTTTGGCTTTTAGTTTGCCAACCGCAGAGCAGCCTCAGGATGACTTCGCTTGTCAGTAGCTCTGCTTCCAGCCATGTGTTTATAGCGATAATCAAGTGCTCACATTGCCAGCTGTCACGACCTCTAAATTGTCACCAAAATAGACTGCCCTCCCCCCGTTCGTGTGCAATGTGTTTACCAGCAAATGGAACGTCACGGCACCGCTGGAATTTTGATTAATCGCTACAGCAGGAGTAAAGAAAACAATCCACATTACGCGTTTCAGATATCTTCATGGAAAACAAATATTTAACGTCTACGAGGCGCTCTTTGTGTACTGCGTGTGTGATATAACTTGAGCGGGGGAGTTTTATTTAGAATGTCTGTGGTGAATCTGAAAGCTTGGACACAAATCTCATTTCAAGAGACACTGTGCACCTGTGCTATTGTGCCCAAGCAGCGTCGAACATGCTCACCGGTGTGTGTACGGCACACGCAAGTACACCTTTGTGCTTCGACAATGCACCCATTCATCGAACAAACTAAATTCTCACGCGTGCGATAGATGCGTCGAACGGTGTGTCCGAGAACTTGCGATTTTCGTCGCATGTCATTCATTCAGAAGAATAAAAAAATATTACCGAATCAAATTAACGCCGCGGATAGCGTCAATTCATGCAAACATTGTAAAATAAAGGTTAATTGATGCAGGCCTAGTATCATTGATGCAGGCCTAGTATAACACAACCTGGGGCAGCCAAACAACCTCATTGGTGGCACTCTTGGCGTGCACTTGAGGATGTGCAGATGAGGTGAGAGCAGGAGGGTAAAAACGTCGTCTCGGCCACGCCGTCGCTAGCGGCGTTCAAGTTGTGAGCCAAGTGCCCCAGGGGCTGAGTGTTTTTGACGAAGAAACCTGCAGCAAATGCGACTACTTTTAGCCGCACATCATGTCCGAAACGATGCCGAAGAATTCATTCAATCAAAGTATATTCCGTGAAAATATACTTTACACGAACCTCAAAATAAGTCGGCGTGGCTATCTTTTACAATACCATCCTCAGAACGCTCGGACCGTCCGTCATGAGCACCGTACACGTGACAACACGGTACGGCCAACACGGCGTCCTTGAGCACGCGAAAGGGGATCTCTGAAAGGCGTCCCACGCTGGTGTAATCGGGGCATCTCGCGCCGCACGACGGCCTGTCCCCACACCGCACCGCGGCACCGGCGGTCCGCCAGGCCTCTGTGTAACCAGCACGCGCCCTACGCGCGGCCACAACAACACGCGACCTGTTTCTACAGCTGCCCTGTGATCCCACGGCCCCACCGCCTCCTCCTCCTCCTCGCAGGCGCCCTCTCCCCTGCTCTCCCCCTCCGCTCCCCACGCTTCCCTTGATGCCCAGCAATGGGAGTAGTTTCTGGATGGAGCCCTGCTGTAGCCTCTCTGTGTTTTTTCAGTTGGCGCACATGTCACCTTTTGTTATCGCTCCAGTTTTTCGTGTTCGTTCTCCCCTCCCACCCCCTCTTTGTTTCCACTTCACTAATCTGGCCGTGTTCTGCTGCTGCTGCGGCGGCGGCTCTCTCGAAGTTTGCAGCGCTGGTAAAAATCCCACATCTATTGTCCCGCCTCTGCCTTTGAGCGCAACGTAGGGTGTAGAGTCAATGGTGCTCGTTTTACGAAGGCAACTCGGCCGCGGGCGGGGGACCACCGCCGAGTGTTTTTTGGGCTCCGGCACAAACGGCGGTTCCGGCTTTTATGGGGCTCGTGTAGAATGCCCTCCCTCGTCCAGTTGGCCTCCCACTCTGGGGCTGTGTGTGTGTGGGGGGCAGGCTTCGCGTAGTAGCTGCCGACTAACGAGGTCATATTCGCAGCAACTGCAGGCCACCCATAGAGCACGGGTGGATATCTACGCAACCTGTATAACGCGTACAGCAGTCTGCCCAAGATTTAAAAAAAGAAGTGGGTATGTTTGATGCGTGCGATTTTGCCACGGACACCACCAACTGTAAAAAAATTTCGTTAAGAAAGTTTCAGCTTTCTCTCCCTGTGAGTTGGTTAGAGCGAGTTAGAGCGAGTTCAAAGTCAGAAGTTTGCGAGTTCAATAAAGGGTCACGGGGAAATGGCTCAGAATGTGTAACTCTTTGTGGTAAGACGTCAACATGCTTGTGTCACGCATTGACTGGCCACTTCCAAACAATTAGCATCTTCTTCAAGTTGGTCGCCCATCACAGCGCTAAACCGGGCTCAGGTTTGCTTGGCTTGCGAAATCTAATGACGTGCATCGGGTGATAAGGTCATAGGCAAAGTGTAGCATCGATCTACAGTAATACCCCAATTTATATCGGGGATGCGTTTCTGAAAAGTGCGATGGCGAATATTGAAATGGCGTCAATCGAAGCGATTTACAGGATAGGTGGTGGAGGCAAAGGCTGAGAGGCGACGGATACGAGGGAGGATGGACGGTGTTGTCAGCGACGTGGGTGTGGGGTTGAGGCTACGCAAATTTGCGTGTGGCAAAATTATAAATTTAAAAAAACAATTTACAGTATTGGTACCAAATATCTCTTCACAACAGCTTGGCCTGTGGGGGTCTGTGGCGACTTGCTAAATGCTTTTCCGCCGCACGCGTGATGGGAACTGATCTCCCACACGAGCATTAGGCAAATGTCCTTATGACGATGTGGCCCCAACAAAAATGTAAGTGCAATAAGTGGTGTATCACGAAAAAGGAAGTTAAAACAAACTTGCGTTACACAGGGACCGAAGAGTAAAACAGCTGGGCGCAAACGGGAAACGCGAGGGCACCCGTCGTCACGCTACACAAGACACTCACGACCCCTGTTGAGGAACTCGGATGGATCACAAGGCCACAGTGTTGCGGTGTGGAATCTGAAGGAGGGGCCCGCACAGTTCTGAAACTTAAATGGGGTCAAAATCTCTTCAAGGATTCCCCCCCCCCCCATCGCAGTGGTGTTATCACTTCACGAACAACTCTGAGTTGTATTTGTACATTACCACTCCAGCTCTTTGGGTTACTTAATCATCTACTGGTGGTCCTACGGCAGCATTTGCCTGGCTCCTATAGGCCACGCGGGGTCAAAGGTCAACTGTCATAGCGCTGCCCTCTCAGTGACCCTGCTGCTGGGGGTGGGCAGGGAACATTATCTGGCAAGTCAGCCGGGCTATTCATGAAGGCTTTGCTTTCAGTTGGACCACGAGTGTCTATGCGGCAAGGAGGCTTCAATTACACATTGATTGTCACTCAAAATCAAAGCCTTTCCGTGACCTATCCAGCTTTGGTATGGTTTAACTCGACTGGCTGTCCCGAGCCGCTGGTGTACATTCCACATGACCACGGTGGGGACCGCCCCCCCCTTAAGAGAACTTGTGCCGACTCCGACCCGGGCGGTGACCACCCTTGCCCTGAAGGGATGTTGGACATGCTGCCTCGGATTTATGTTTTATTTTTAATTAAATCACAAATAACTCCAAACTCTCAAAGAGCAAATGCAAACAGTGTCCACGTCATTCCTGAGCACTGGAAAATAATTGCCTTGGGCGGGGGAATAAAAAAAAATCAATGATAAGAAAATGTAAAAGTGAAAAACAAAGCCGCACTCAAGCAACAAACTCACGGTCACAAAAATCCCAACAATTATCTGTGAAACCGGAACCTGCCACTCATCAACTCTCACCATCATTCCCTAAGCCGAGTTTAACCAATGTGCAGGCGCCACACATTTCCAACCCGACGTATACCCCTCCCAAATTGCTGACCTGCATGTGAACCCTTGCCCTTGTGTCTGCGGGCCCACCATTCTCTCAGGGGAGCCACTAAACGAGGGCTACCCAGCCGCAGCTACTGCCACCCCAGACACGCACAAATATGGCAGCATCGACACAAAACGGACGCAGTATCTCTGTTTCAACGTGAGCAGGAAAATCGGCGGCTGGGTGCGGTCACGGTCCAGCAGGCGCGTCCCTCACGCCCAGGGTCAGTGGCCCAGGGTCAGTGGCCCAGGGTCAGTGGCCCATCCTCGGCGCCCACCTCGGTCTCTGTGATGAGGAATTCACCAACTTGTGGACGCGATAGACGCTCTAACTCTACTCGTGAGAGTCTCCCAAGGCGCATGAAGATCGACACCCTCAGAAATCCGATAATTCGCCACGATTTGGGGGGAGGGATTTTATTCAAGGGTTTGTTATTTTTTAAATCCTGTTTTTACCGGCATGTTTGTATTGCTCATCAGTTTGTTGTCTTGTTCAACAGCTTTGTTCACCCTGTTAGCGTACACCTAATATTTAAATATCGTTTGCGCAAAACTGCAAAAACCCGCACTCCAACTACACACAGTTTGGGAGCAACCCCGGAGTCCATTGGAAAAAAACTCTAAAACCTCCGCCGATTTTTGGAGTGGCATCGCGGTCCCATGAGCAAGTCCCCGCCGTCTCACCGCGCAATCACGAAGGCCCGTCGCAAACACCTCGATGAAGGCAGCAAGAAAGAGAACGCGCTTAATGGCTTGGTTGTCATCAACAACTTGTCACTTTGTGCTCGTAGAGCCACGATCCCCACGCGGTCCCGAGTCACTTCCGTTGGAACGCGAGCACGAAAAAAGACACCCGACTGCCGTTTGTCAGGAAGACATGAACTCTATCTCAGGAAAGCCTCCGGGGGTTCAAAGTTCAACAGTGTGTACGACAATAAAACAAAACGCACTTCAACGGCAGCGCAAGCCGCTCTCACACCACACTTCACCCGTCCACTAAAACTGCCGGCCTATGCTGCAACAACTCAAGACTTCGAGGAAACAAGCTGGGGAAGCCAATCTTCTTGCGAGCCTCTGCTCCGTTGGCCCCTTCGGCAGACGCGTTGCGAAGGCGCTGCGCCTCAGAGAATGAGCTGGGGACGGTGGTTACACTCTGGAGACATTTCACACGAGACAATTCGCTGGTGGCTCACAGCGCTGCGAAAGCCATGAAGGGTTTCCCAACGCACACCGGCGGACACAATTCCCATTCAGCTTATGCTTAATATTCTCAATATTTACGTCGCCATTATCGATTTAAATTTGCCACGAACATGTTTTCTAGACAACAATGGTGGGATTGTGATCGAAGAATGGGTTCTTTCATTGTGCCTGACATGTCACATGCCATCACCTATAGCCTGGTTTTAGGCCACCAACTCAGAAAGTCACCACATTTTCAACCATTTCACTGTAGACAGCAGCGATGCAAAGAGACAAATGTGAACGAATTTCTTCATTAGGAATCATTTGTACAGAAGAATATTCTCATACATTACAGAAAGTGTGGGATGGAATTGGTTGATGAGGATTTGTGTTTAAAACGGAGCGTGTGTGTGTGTGTGTTTACTGCCGTAAGGTCACACTAATTACTTGTGTATGCCCAAAATTTTCTCTTGCGCGGTACAATACCGCGACCAGGGCCACTGATACCCGTTAACAAAAGAGCACCCACTGGATCGCGCAGGGTGTGGAAATGTCGTCTTCTCCCTGAGCTGTGTGTAGGGCACACGGCTCCAACGTAGGTAGGACGTCGTCACAACGCCAGAGCGTGTGCAGTGGCCAGATATGAAAACAATTCCGTTAATTTCCTTCTACGAAACCGCAATAACTAATTTTCTATTCCAGTTTGTGTATGGTTTTTCGTGTTGAATTTTACTTGACAAGAAAACCCTTTACAACAAAAATGCGCATTTATCAATTACACAATGCAGAAAGATTTTGTTCTTACCGATTATAGCATCAAAACAAGCAAATTGTACCCTCGCTTAATGGACAATGTACTACGCGAAGGCCTAGTTTAGTAGTTTTTGTAATATATTAAGTGATGTATTAATGTTGTTGTTGTGAGCTTGCCAAGTTAATTTTGCTTTTTGTTTTGTTTTGATCAGAAGAGAGGCATGGCCGTGGCTGTGAGTGCACGTGGACCACCACAGACAGACACTATCGCAACCCGCAGTGACTAACGCGGGCCCAAAAGCTCCGATAAGGGCTCATATTAAAAACACGTTTAATCTGCACTTTGTTGGGTTTTTTATCAATTTTTTAAGGACCTACAACCGATAACGCATTGTTTTTGAGGTTTATCGTGCGTTATCGGGCTTTTATAATTTATGATGAATTTTTGTGGGGCGCCCGGGTGTGGCCACGTGTCCAAGCCGATGGAGACAGCCCCCGCCAGTGTGACCAGGGCTCAAGGGGCAACTGCCGTGTAGCCGTGTTCGCCGTGTTCACGTAGGCGACATCGCACGGGCCACTCGGCTCTTTTTACAAGTTACAGGTCTAGGGCAGCCAAAAAAAAAGAACTGGAATGACAAAGACAATTTCACTGTATTAAGGGGGCTCTGTGGTGAGTCGCAGCCGCTTTGACAACTTGGTCGTTTGGCACGGGCGCATTACAGCGGTTATAAACAATAACAAAAAAATATCTTTTACCGGATAATGCCCACTAAGATATTTAGCTCTTTTTTCAGAAGCGAACTGGCCACAAATGATAGCTCAACAAAGTAGTTTGTCACCATATGGAAATTGATAGCGGCCAAATACTCTAAACGCACGTTTCTAAACGTGGAGTGATAAACCGGAGGACTCGGAGAAAAATCTGCACAACCACGGGGAGAACATACAAACTCCAAATATAAAGACGTCAGGGTCGGGATTAACTCACAACGTCCTGCATACCAGGCGAGTTAGTTATCGGGTCGGCGGTATGTGTATGGCTCTCGTGTCCCTTTTCCCCTGGCCCCGCGCTGGCTTTTGGTAGGTGATGTGGAAACCCACCGTTTTCTTTCTGGCAAGATAAAAAAAAACAGCAGTGGACGCCACATTGCACGCCAGGTCCTCGAGAGAGCAGCTACTGTCATCTCCATCCCCAAACACGCATCTCACTCAGCAGTCAGCAGCCAGTAACCAGTCTGCCGTGAATTACTGAAATTCCGCATCCGCTCTGCCCAGAATTAGCACGTGTAGGGCCCTGTTAAGGACAGTGAAACTCAATTCCTCATAAAGAGTGGAGTAAAAAAATTTGAATAAACATTTCGGTTTACAAAATCCACGCACATGAAATCAGCGCTTGGACGTGTGTGGCAGTTACACTAATTTAACGTTTTCTCAAATAACACATGTGGGGCTTTGTAAAACTCCCATGTTTTTTCTGTCTTCCTTTTCTGTGGCGTTTTTTTACATCTTCGACATCCGGAGTTTAGTGCGGGGCAGACCGGGTAAAGTGGCTCCGTGGCGCTTACACAGCCACGGCGCTGTGAGGACAGCGCCGCCAGACGAGTCTGGGAAACCAGACAGTAGGCGCTCAGAGGCACGCACACAAAGACAAAGGTCCCCCGTATAGCCTCGACAGACTGTCGGGGCAAGTGCTGTTTGCGAGCAGCACCTATGAAGGCCGGCATGGCACACAAAGGGGTGGGTGGAAAACACAACGCCCGGCCGCCTTTGTCTCCCGAGTGGCAATGTTCACACACCGCACCAAGTACTAATTTGAGGCTGAGTTGACCTAGGGGATTCACATTTCACGCACGTAAATATAAAACGACTGCTGTTCACCACTAAGTGGCGGTGACGTCATCACGGCGCTTGTGCCACGCTCGGTGCACTTTGAGGCCACGTGAATGACTGAGATGGCTGGCAGATGCACCAACTGTGCTCCCGACTGTGACAAGAGGCACCCATCCGGGCACTGACGCCCCGCAGGCAAGCTCGCTCGTGCGCGCCAGAAGGTGTGTACACACCTTCTGGTGTACACACCACGCACGCGGAGCCCGCAACGCTGCTGTATTTTGTCATCTTATCAGTCAGCTGCACCAGAGCGTCTTGCACGCATCATCTGCACCCAGCCGCAAGCCCACGCCGGCTTAAGTGTTTTCCGCAGGTGCAAGGTCCACCGCCATAATACGCGAGTCACCGCGTTATGCACAGTGCGGTGACATTTTATCACAACCTGCTCCCCCCCATGAGCAATGGGAGAGGTGAGAGGTCGCTCATCCCCCTCTGCCGCCCCCACAAACCGGAAGGTGCGGCCCTGCAATTACTTGATCGCACCACGGCGGCTGGAAGAGGCTCCACGAGAGCGAGCTCTGGAGTGTATTTGGTCTACTCTTCCATGCCGCCGCCGCCTCCACCACATGTGGATCGATCAGCTGCGGTGAACCCATCTGTACCGCGGTGGTGCATGGAGGGGGGGGGATTTAAGGAACCCGCGCGTTATTTCAACTCCCACGGTGGAAGCTGGAATCGAACCGGCGGGCCTCTGGAATGTCCAATTTGCGATCCGTTACACCACTCGGGCAGCTGCCCGAGAACGCACACACTCACTCGACTTACACACACTCGACTTACACACTCACTCGACTTACACACTCGACTTACACACTCACTCGACTTACACACTCACTCGACTTACACACTCACTCTGCTTACATACACACTCACTCTGCTTACATACACTCACTCTGCTTACACACTCACTCGACTTACACACTCACTCTAACACACTCGACTTACTCGACTTACACACTCACTCTGCTTACATACACACTCACTCGACTTACACACTCACTCTACTTACACACTCACTCGACTTACACACTCACTCTACTTACACACTCACTGTACTTACGTTACCATCCACACAGTGTGTACACCACAATGTCTTGCATGGTGTCTGGAGATGCAGTTTGTAGTTGGATGCTAAAGAAACCTAAATTGTATTGATGTGTTGCAGTGGAGAATGCAAAATGTGGTTTTAGTTGAGCACTCTCAAGCATAAATAATAAAGTTTGAAAAATCATACCGATCTCAAGAAAACAGATGGACACCAATCACGCCCAATTGTAAAACTCCTTTAGAGGAGGAGAATAAAGAGGAATTGTGTAAAACAACAACACTTGGCTTGGACATTTTCCGGTAAAAGAGACGATGAAAGCGTCACCCGATGCAAACTGAATATTGCACAACCCCGGCGCTGCCACACGCACCGACGCGCCAACAGCGGAACGGACTTTGGCACTGAGAAATTCAAACCTTAAGATAAACCACACGACGAGACCACACAAAACAACAAAATGTCAACTCAACGCACCATCAGAAATCGTAACCTCGTTGCCATTTAGCAGCTGAGATGAACACGTTCAGATTGAACGTGCGTCACCCGAATACTCATTTCTGCAGGCAATGCGGCCAGCCTTCCAATGGCAACTTTACGAGTGACTGGAAGACATCGACATTATCGCAGGCGCACCGGAAAGCCTCGAGCAACAGATTGCATAGATGACTGCGCGACGGATATGGCTGCAGAAATAATGGACTTTGTGGACGACTGGATATCCGCGCCGCCGCACAACGAGGCTCTACGCGTGAATGTTTACAGCTCATGGTTGAATGGACCCACTGTGTGAGGCACTTGCCCTCAAGCTGGGCTGCCACGGCTGGGGTTGTTAAATTCTGCGGCAGACCGGGAAAGTTTAGTTAAATATTGTCTAAAATTAGCTCCGACGGATGTCGTTTAATACATTGTAATCTTTTAATCTATCTTAATGCACTTTCTTATCAATGTATTATATCAAGAAAGACAAATAAGGGTCCAGTGAAGAATGGTTACCGTTATTTGAGAAGTACTTTTTTTTACGCTCCCGTATTTAAAATATAAATATTGACACCGGACACAAGTCTGGGGGATTGCGTCTAACTTTCAGGAGCGTCTCATATTCCGAAAAATACGGAATATTATCGCAGACATTTAAAATAGAATAAAGGGATAATTGGTGGGGTCACGCCCTACACTTTTCACTTGAACGGTAAGCAAGCACCCACAGACACAGACTGTTTCAATGTTTAGACTCGCAGCTCTCGTCTGCTGACCTCTAAGGGGCCGTGCTGGTTGAGTGTAGAACTAGAGACACCCCAAACGATGGTAAATTCACCCTGTTCGTCACTATAATGAGTCATCTGGACTTAAAGCAATCTCTGAGATTACTGGGACTTTCTCAAATTTAAAGTGGGTTGACTGTCGTTTAAAACCTAAGCCAATAATCCTGTATTCATCGAATTCTTCAATATGAAGGAGTCATTGAGGGATTGTGCAAACAAGGTGCCTATAAATAAGCAGTACAGCAAGTAGGTCACTGACCTGGAGGAGAAGTGTTATTCCTCAAATGTGTGGGTTTCCTCGGGATAACGAACAAGCCAAGGGATTGAGCAAACACCCCAAGGCAGCACTGAAGAAGTCTTCAGAAGCCCAGAGAGGGGCTTTCCTGACAGAGAAAAATTATTTGTAAAAAAATCTTCTAATAATGTGCCCAGCCATTAAAAAAATCTCACAAACTCACTCGACAGAATTATGGGTGGAAAATACCCAGCGCTTGAGGGGTTTTTTTTTCGTTTTTCTCGGTTGCACTGCACCCGGGCGTGCGGGCAGCGGATATTCCGCACGTTACGCTTCGAGCGAGCGCTATTATTAAACTCGTCAAGCCGGGCCCGGGCTGATCGCGAGCGACACGGGCAGCCAGCGGAGCACCGCGGGGCGCGTCCCCACCACAGCTGCGGCCGGGCCGCCGCCACTCTGTGCCGCACTTCCACATTCCTCGCGGGTCGGCGCGAGCCACCGCCGCTCGCCCCGGCCGGCCTCGCGATCTCACTGCCCGGGGCCCGGGCGAGCACAGGAGGGGGGGGGGACCCCGCTCATCGGCGTCAATCGTGACACGTACTTTATTTATTTGCACCATTATTTCACTTATTTAGCCAGGAAAGCCTCGCTGAGTACCGTGACCCTTTCTCAGGAGAGTCCTGCCAAGTGTTTTGCTGTAGGGGGCGATTATTTTGATGTGGATTCCAATTGAGACTCGAGGCTGAGGAGGCAGAGGTGCCCGCGGGCACACGCGGGCATGCTCACAAAGGCGGCATCTTGAGAGAGGGAACGAGGATTGCCGCGCTTTGATTAGTCTCCGATGCGGCCATGCATCATGGCTTTTCCTCGCTGTGCTGCGAGGAAAAGCCATGAAAAGTCACGGGCTGCCAAAATGTTTTCATTACCGTATCCCTTGTTTGTACAGCATTGGGTTTCATTTAAATATTAACTCCGCGACTAATATCTGACCGAGTAGAACGTTTTCTTGAGGTGATTTATCTCCAACAAGTTCACGTTCTTTTCATGGGCAGTTTTTTTTGTATTTCTATTCGTTTCCTCGAGTTCTGGGAAAAAAACCCTACTGGGACGGAGCGGAGTTAATTGCTTCCTCTTTAGCACAAGCTGGAGCCGATTCCCAGAGGTGCCTCTCCACCGTGGGTCCTCGCCACTTTGGAGGCAGCCCAAACGCTACAACAACGAGCCAGCGCTCCACCCTCACGGCCAGTTCACTCTCACAAACGTGGCTTTCCTCACGAAAGCAACGTTTGCATCGTTTTTTTTTAAATTAACTTCGCATATAATACCGTCGCCCGTAAAACGTATATCCAACAATGGATAAATGAGTTAAAAATGTTGATTCACAACGGCCAGGATGTCAAATGTAACCAACCTTTATATCCATTATATATCCTGTCCACACTGTTGCACTGTGGAAGAGTAGGCCAACCACCCTCTAGAGGGAGCTCCAGGGAGACGATTCCGCCGGCAGCGGTGTGAGAGAGCGATAGCGGGGCAACACCTTGACCCAGGCCTGTTGGGGCCTGAGCTGCTCACGAACCAAGTTCAGTGCAACGCACGGGGGGACGGTGTGGCTGGACTCACGGCCGTCTCTCTGCTGGCAGCGCTGGTGTTCACACGCTGCACCAAGGAGTCACTGAGACGGAGTCTCCGTGCTAAAGGTGCTGGCCATGGGATGCTTCACCCATCTCCGGAATTGTCACAAATCACATTCACGATTCACTCTTCTTGTTTTTACCATCTCACTTGCAGTTGTAATTGGTACTATTTTAGTTTTTTCCCCATTCGCCGAATGTAAAATGTGCATATTTTTAGCATATAACCAGGGAAAACTGTTAAAAAATCTCTACTTATGAGCACTATTTGATGCATATAATTCAGCATAATAATCTCCTTTAAATAAATTGCATGCCTACAGGCCACGATGGGACACAAATGTCCCATTCTAGATGGACAAAGCATTAGACACTTCATTCATCCAGAGCTACCCCTGCAGACACTTTGCGTAACAAGGCGAGTTTCAGCCACTCTATAGCCCCCATCCTCCGCACAACCATCCTTGCACACAGACCAGGCGAGAGAACAGGGACCGTTCGTCAATCAAGGTCTATAATCCCACTACCGGTTGTGATCCATTACAGATCAGAATCGACTACCTTCTTGCGATCGATTACTAGGGCCCCTTTAAAAACGACCCCGTTCCAAATGCAGGAAACCCCCTACAAAGCCACGTCAAGCGTTACAAGAGCTGATGATGATGATGCGGGTGACACCACCATCACCTCCCGTCCAGCGGCACATGTGGTAACAGAGGTGCAACTTTTCCTGCCCTCCCCCCCGACTACATTCGTGTTACGCCATCGATCGAGTCGTGGCACCGACAATCGGCGGAGTCATCGTTTGCTTAACCGATGGGAGAGCCCGGAGATCTCGCCCCTCCATGTCGATCCGCGCTGAACATCGCCACGACGCTCCTGGCAGAGCGGAACAGATGGGGACGCGTCGTGTTTGGGGAGAAGCGACGGACGCTCGCACTCAGCGCCTGGGACAACGTTTGCCAAGCAGCATTCTCTCTCATTGTCGTAACATTCTGCACTGCCTTCTGACAAACAAAGACAAAGATCCTCCGTATAGCCTTGAGATACTATTGGAGCAAGTGCTGTTAGCGAGAACCTATGAAGGCCGGCACGGCACACGAGGGGGTGGGTGGCCAACACCACACACACATAAGCGAGGAGACTGCAAGGTGGAAATTTGTATCATTGTACGGATACTGTCACTGATGACGGTGACGTTTGGTGTAGCATCACACGCGGTTGGTTCATTGCAAATAGATGCTTTCGTTTTTCGATACAGTGAAAACCATCATTGAGTCAAGTGCCAACCGCAGTATTATTCCGTGCTGCAGTCGGTCAATTCCACGGATTGAGCAATCTTGTAGGCAAAACTTAATAATCATTGCAATACAGTTACACGTGGGGCATCACTGTTTGGGTTAATGAGTGTTTGGAAGTATGGCTTATTCGTGGAAAAAATTCAACTGCTTGCCAGGTACGTGAAGCCGAGTCCATGAGCCCAAAGCAGACGTTTCACTCGTCGGAACCACCAAAGGTAGAATCACCTTCGTGGTTCCCGTTTCTCTACGTTGACAGTAACGCGGCATTACGTGGACAGTAACGCGGCGTTACGTGGACAGTAACGCGGCGTTACGTGGACAGTAACGC